TAAAACATCGCCCTCCTCGGGCCAGGTTAAGATTGGCATACTAGCGAGGTATTTCTTGAGCTCGTCAAACGCGAGCTGGCAGTCTTGGGTCCACTCAAACCCTTTGCTCTTAATTTCCTTAAAGAATGGCAGACAGCGGTCCGCCGATTTGGACATGAAGCGGCTCAGGGCGGCTACACGACCATTCAACCTCTGAACCTCTTTTAACTTCAAACCAAAGGGCATAACCTTGTAATAGTAAAGGCCGAATTCCGTGATGAAGGCAGTCTTTTCTTCGTCCGCCAGGTCCATCTTGATTTGATTATAGCCCGAATAGGCATCCAAGAAACTTAGCAACTCGTGCCCTGAGGTCGCATCCACTAAGCGGTCAATTCTAGGGAGTGGGAAGCAGTCTTTTGGGCAAGCCCGATTTAGGTCGGTGTAGTCGATGCACATGCGCCACTTGCCGTTGGCCTTCTTTATCAGGACAGGATTGGCCACCCAGATAGGGTAGTGGACTTCCCTTATGAAGTCAGTTGCGAGGAGCTTCTCAACCTCCCCGTTGACCGCTTTCCACTGCTTCGGGGCTAGGTTGCGTTTCTTCTGTCTAACGGGCCTAACTACAGGATCAGTATTCAGCTTATGAGTTATAAGGTCGGGGTCTATACCGGGCATCTCTACCGCAGACCACGCAAAAATATCTAAATTTTGGAGTAAGAAGCTTACCAGTTCGGATCGTAGAGGTTCCTGGACGAAAGCACCGATCTGAAGCGTCCGAGCCGGGTCGGCTGCTGAGGTCAGGACTGCGACTGTTTCTTCCATGGGTGCGGCTCGTTCCTCGCTTTGCTCCGTAGGCTGTTCCAGTTCGAGGTCATCGGCCACCTTGGTCTTTCCCTTCAGGGCAGCAACGTACACTTGCGGGACTCGAGCTGGTCGCCCTACGCTACCCCCACACCGAAGTCTGTTAGGAACTTCATAGCCAAATGGTAAGTGAAGACCACCGCCTGTAGGATATGGGTGATCGGCCGACCTATTATGCCATTGTAGGGGGAGGGGGTCGCGACCACCAAGAAGTCGTGTTTGAATCTGGCCATGCAAGGCCATGTGCCGACTTCCACAAGTACTGTTATTTTCCCAAGGGGTCGGACTTCTTCTCCGTTGAAGCCCACCAAAGGAGTGTCCACAGACTTCAGGTCGCTTCTCTACAGCTAATGCTGATCGAACGCAGCTTTGAAGAGGATGTCGGCCAAGTTGCCCGAGTCGACGAGTATGCGCCTGACCTCGAAGTCGTTGATTCTCAGCTTTATTATGAGTGCGTCGTCGTGGGGGTAGTGGACTCCTCGCGCGTCATCTTCTGTGAAGAAAATTGGCTCTTCTGTCCTCGGCCGCTTTTGAGGATTCTGCTCTTCTCGGGCGGCCTCACGAACTGATGTTCGAGCTGCTGCTGAAGTACAACCCGCGACGATCGAGCCTCCCACTATCATGTGGATGGTCCCCCAAACCGACCTCTCTTCTGGAAGCTGCCTCTGTGGCTGTTCGGTCGGCTTGCTGCTGGACTCGGGAGCATCCTTACCGTGCTCCCCTTGCCGACCTGCTTTGTTATTACTATTACTATTATTATTATGTACAAAATTTCTTAAATACCCGCGACGGATGAGCTCCTCAATCTCGTCGCGGAGGTTTTTACAATTTTCGGTGCTATGACCGTGATATCTATGAAAACTGCAGTACAGATTCTTATTTCTTTCATTGGGATTCCCCCTCAAACGAGGTGGCCACTTCACATACGGGGCGTCCTTGATCGCCATCAGGATTTCGGCCCGCTTCGCGTTCAGTGGGGTGTAATCAGTTCGGTCCGCTATGGGGGCTTGGAATGACGGACCTGGCTTTGCCCCCCGAGCTGTATCCCTTTTCTTTCGGCTGTCCTCTTGACTGGAAGGCTCTCCTTCCCTCTTCCTTTTTTCGGGCGCGCTCTCGCCCTTCTGGTTGATCTCCTCTTCGGTGGTTATGAACCTGTCCACGAGCTTAAGAAACTCGGTTATGGTTGCCGGTTGGTTGACGATCATGTGCCATTTGAACTCTTTGTGTGTCACACCTTTCTTGGCTGCTGCAAGGCGCACGGCGGGGTCCAGGCGTGGTATTTGCATACAAGCATCGTTGAACCGTTTGATATAGCCCCGAATGGACTCTCCCTCTCTCTGCACTATGTTGAGGAGGCTTTTTTTAGTTCGCGGGCACCGCTTGCTGGTAACGAAGTGGGACATGAAGGCTTGCGCAAACTGCGCCCAACTTTTTACCGATCCAGGTGCCAAGTTCCGGTACCACGTACAGGCTGCTCATCTGAAAGTGGTGGAGAAGGCTACGTACATGCACGGCTTGCTGGCTCTTGCCAGGTGCATCTGCGATTGGAAGGCATCTATGTGATCATTTGGGTCGAACGACCCGTTGTACTTGTCAAGAGGGAGGAGCTTAAAGTCTTTAGGCATTGGGACTGACAAAAGCTCGGGAGATAGAGGGGATTGAACTGAAAGGATGGGAGCCTTGACTTCGCCTGAGCTCGCTTCTTCTTTGCCTCCAAGCTCGGATAGGTCATGGGTGGCAGGCCGGCAAGCTCGGCGGCGACGTCTCTGTTTCTTGGCGGGCTCGGCATTTGTACTACTCACTTTCGTGCTGTCTGGGATGGTGTGTGCAGGAAATAGCTTGGGCCGCTGGTGATGACTGCGAACAGAGGGATCCTGCTTAGAGCCTGCGGTCAGAATCTCGAACTGGTTTTCTAAGAACGGGGCATCAGGCTTGGAGGGTTGTGACAATGTGGACTTGGTGAGCTGGGGTCCTTCCGACCTGACCTCCCGTGGCGAGGCTGGAGTGGCCGGCCTTTCCTGTCTGCTGCGGGAGGAGGCCTGGCTCCTTGGAGGGTTCTGGGGGATCTTTCCTTGGCGAGGAAGGTGCTTCTCTTGACGATGGGGCCTAGCCCGCTATGAGGTTGGGTGCCGAGGAGGGAGTTGCGATTGCTGAAGCTGAGGTTGTGGCAGTTGGGGAAATTGCTGCTGATACTGGTATTGGGAGACCTGGTGTAGCACGTGCTGTTGATAGATCTGAAAATTTTGAAACTGTTGCATTTGAGCCTGCATGGCCCGCATGCACTGCACCAAATCTTCCAGCTGATTCGGGCTGGCCGCTGGGGGCACAACCGAGGGTTCAGTGATGGTTGTTCCGATTGTGGTAGGGAGTGGAGCAACGACGAGTGCCGCTGCAAGAGGCACATTCAAACTAGGGATCCCGTCCGCTGAGAGGGGGACGGTGAACTATCCGATACAGACAGTAGGAAGCTGGGGCTGTTCCCTGGAGTTATTCATCTCCGTGCTTCGTCCGATATTGCTTGAGGACACCATGAGTGTTGAGTTTTTGGAGAGTAAAAAGATGTGAAAGTTTAGAGAAAGGCTTTTCGAAGCGTTTCCCACAGAGGGCGCCAAATGATGTAGCGCGATCCGGTCACTCCTAGCTGGCTCTCACACGGCTCCTGGAAGGTACCTGAGATGAAGAAGAAGAAGAAGAATCCCCGGGGAGTTTACCCGGTGGGGATACTTCGATGCTTAAGTTAGTACTCTGTAGGAGAAGCAAAAAGGGAGACAGAGGCTAAGAGTGCAGATAGCGCGTTCTCACTATACTCGAGAGATTAGATGTTTCAAGAAGAAATTTCTCTTCTGCCCTGAGGGCTTTTATAGGGAGACTCACGTCTGGTCGGGCATAACCGCCATTGGGCTCCTGCCACAGCCGTTACCTGCCAGGGCTGCGCAGGTGGCCGTTGTGGCGTACGTCTCGCCCGGGTGAGTGACACGTTTCCAAAGTGGCAGGCACGCCTTTGCCTGCTAAGAGACGTGGACGCAGACTGCCGAAAGGACTGAGACTGCGACGTAGTAAGGGATATGGCGCAGTCTGACCGGTACGGTCTATTAGTCAGAAGCTTCCTGAGGAGCGCTCGTGCGGCTCATTCGCGAGCTTGGAACACTCTAGGATTACCCTTAGTAGAATTGGTCCTCGGGATGACTTGTCTGCTTGGGAGCTCGGACGAGCTAATAACTTTACCTCGCGAGCTAAAGTTGCCTTGGAGTATCTCTTCAAAGGTAGCTCGGGGAGCCCGGGGCTCCCATTGCGGTGAGCTTCTCACGCTACAATGTAGCGAGCTGCTTCGTAGGCCCGTCGCTTGGTCGTACCAGGTTACAACGTTGAGTTGTCGCCCGTGCTAAATCAGTGTCTATGTGTCACCGTTTCATAGATTGGGTGAAATCGTCCTCCATCAACTTCTATAAATTATCATATTGTTTTTGGAAATATTGGTAATCTAATTTTTGTAAATTTCAATTTAAGATAAGTTAATATTAGTAATTATTAACTTACGCTCTACATTGATCATTAATATTAGTACTTGTTAGTATTAACCATTATTGTTATAATAGTTAATAATTTAGTTTATATAATTTAATGACATTAAACTACTAATGTTAAGTGTAATACAATAATGTTAATTGTTATTACTGTAATTAATATTAATTTTAAATTATTATTACTAAATTAATAATAATAATAGTTAAAATTATTTTTATGTAACCGTGTCATACATGGTAAATCTAACAACCGTGTATAACACGGTAAATAAACTACTAGATCGAAAATGGGTTGTCGTTGACCCATTACATAATTTATCAAAAAATGTGTCAGCGTTGACCCGTTTTACATCATCTTCTTCACCCGATTATAGAAAATGGGTTATTTTATAGCGTTTCCCCCTTTTTTAGTTTTCTTCTTAATGTTTTATTTTATTAATCAACCCTATAGTGTTTTCACTAAATATTCAATACAAAAAATGGATAAAAATTCCCGGATTTAAGAGTAAAAGTGACTGTTCATGCCTGTTGTTCTTCCTCCAAAACCGTGTCTTTTCTGCCCCTGTTTTCAGTCAAAAAACAAAAATATTTAATATGGATTGGTAATAGTGGAAGAGGAATGGAGACGGGGAAGGCGTTTTACCTGTTTGGGTGATAAATCAGAGTAGTTCCGCCCCTCTTCTTTTGTCCAAAACAAAGTAGTTTTCGTCCAAAATAGCGTAATCCCATCTCTTTTTTTTTAGTGAGAAAAACAATAAAACTTAAATTGAGTTCAGAATAGAGAAGAAAGAAAGGAGATGATGGAGTGATTTACCTATTTGGTGTTCTTTCGCCCCTGTTTTTCTCTCTTAAAAACAGAATTACTTCAACAACTGTGAAAGATATAACGTGAAGAAAAACAGAATGAAAAGAAAGAAGGAGATATAGGTGTTGATTGTGAGAACAAAACGAAGAGAAAGAATGGGAAAAAACTGACTTGAAAAGTAGTAGTAGAAGAAAGCTTTAGATCAATTGGTCGTGTTTCAATTGGACACGATCTAATAGAGATTTCGGAAGTGACAAACCTTCATAGAATCGTGACAATATATGGCTCTTTAAAACCCATCCAAAAATGGTTCAACCGACCTCCGCCAAACAAGTGATGTCTTATGATCAATTTGATACGAAGAAGATCGCCCTTATTCTCAGCGAAGGTTGAATTTACCATTGGTTTCCTAGTTGATAATTCAAACGTTCAGTTTGAATGGATAACCTGTTTTAATAAAAAAAAATTAAAAAAATTAAAAATTTCTGACTCCACTCCTGTCACTGATTCATGTTTTTTGATTCATGGTGCAATTTCTACATGGTAGCATTTGCCTTACAAATATTTCAATTTTCATGTTTTATTTCTACTATGACAATGAGTTGGATTTGATATGGGCTGATCTCAACCCAAACCCAATTAAGATTGCCACGAAACTCTAGCCCGATAGGATCGGGTCAAGCCTGGGTTTATCTCTTAATGTATGGTTTTTAAAACCGAACTGGTCTAGAGTCCGATTGTCAGTTCAAACAGTTTGACCGTTCGATTTGAACGGTTGGTCTATTTTGACAAAAAAATAAAAAAATTTGAAAAACAGTCAAAACCATTCAAATGGTTCAAATGATTAACCGGCCGGTTCAGCGGTTTACTGACCAAAATCATAGGTTTTGAGGGAAAAAATGGTTTTGGGGTAAAACGGAACCCGTCAAGTGACCGGTTCCCAGTTTTTCCAGTCCGATCGTGCGGTCCAATCCAGTTTTAAAAACCGGCCAGTTTAGCCGAATGTTAACGCAACACACGTGGGGCACACCCATTATGTAACATGTCTTGTAGAGGCAATGCTGAAGTGACATTTCAAAGTGTTGTGTTACATCAACAGACCAGATATTTGCTCATTTATATTAAAATGCTGATGTGGCAAGTTATTTAAGCATACTGGTGGAAAAATACGTCAAACACTAAACACCCTCTGATATAAAGTAATGCATTTTGTTTGTATGGGACAAGGGAAGTGGACGACTGGACCTTTAAATATTATAAATTGTATTTGTGACGCAAAACCGCAAAAGTAATTACATCGTTTCCCACTCAAATTAAATGAGATTAGGCTTCTGCCTTCTGCCTTCTTGGTGAGGAATTGGTCCTCACAACGCGCTCCTCACACCGACCTTAGCTATTGGCAACATCTTCCACGAATAAAAATATATGAGGACTGAGGAGCACTCCCCTTTTTAAAATGTAGGAAAAAAAAACATTTTCTGATTTTTTTTTTGTAAAAGGACATTTTTCGAAGCTGGAAAAAAGGAGTTTTGACCATGGTTTTCAAAACCGGACCAGACCAGATGGTTGGATCAGAAAAATTGAAAACCGCATCCGCTTTACCCCAGAACCGTTATTTTTCCAAATACCGTTGATTTGGTCAGCAAACCACTGACCCGGGCAATCAAACTGTTTGAACCATTCGATTTGGTTGGTTTTTATTTTTTTGTCAGAATGGTCGTCCATTTGGTTCGAACAGTCGGATCATTTGACCCAGGAACTGGACCCCTGACCGATTCGTTGTCCAATTTAGTTTTAAAAACCTTGATTTTGACCATGTGGCGATGCCATGAGCTTCACTCAAATCTTCTCTTTTTGCAGCGGGGAGAGGATAGGGATGGCAATTTCCACTCTACCCAGCTGAACAAAAAGTTTTGGTCCAGTTTCCAGCTAAAACCTTGGAAGGCAAGGACTAGAAGATATGAGTGAGCATTATTTGGTTAAAACCAAAATAACTGAACAAAAAATTTTGGTTTGGTTAACCAAATCTCACAATCTAAAAATCAAAACCAAAACTGAATTAACCCAAAAACCAAAAAAACCAAAACCTAAATTTTCAGTTTTAACCGATTAATGCTCATTCATATTTTCTAGATGGTCCTCTATAAAAAAAAAATCATCTCAATCTATTTCCTCTCATTTTAATATTTTCCGATCAAATGATGAATAAATAATAATTTATTCTTTGGTTTATTCATTGATTTCGGTGACAAAACTGCCCTTATCAACTTCATAAGAGTCCATGAATGGAAAGAGAGAACAAACTTTTTTCTAAGTCCACCTATATTTAATTAGTCCCGTTTGGCATGCTTGAAGTCTGAAGAGAAGACGGGACGAAATTTCACTAGTCTCCTTTTAATTCCTGCTTAATATACACGGGTTGGTAAGATTTTCCAAGCCAAACAAAAGAAACTGTATGGAAGGAGACTACTGCTCTTTTATTCAGTGTCTCACGAGATCCTGCCCGGCCAGTCGTAGAAGAAGGCTGACGTTTACTTGGACCAAAAATGGTCTGTTTTGGGAAAACCAGTGGGCCTGGTGGGTCAACAAGGCAGTGAAGAAGACCCAAGCACATGCAGGACGAGTGGGGCCGATCTTTGTTGGGTTTTTGGGAGGAAAATGACTCCAACAGCGGGGCCCAATATTCAAAGGGCCTCGTGAGTGCTGCAAACCTCACTTTTGGTAGTTCACACATTATATGTAACACCCACCACAAACAATTCTTATTCTTTCATTCTTCTTTCTTTCCTCTGGCTGTTTTCTCAAAACCGGCCATTTATTTAGATTATCAGTGACCTGACGATACAATACATATTGGCTGATACAAACTGATGCATTACAAAATTTTGGTACAATGATTTTTCATGATTTCATTAGGGATTTGCCTAATTTATTAAAAAAAAAAAAAGAATGTGTTCAAATCAATCCCCTTGAAAGAAAGTGAAATCCTTTCTGAACATTAAAGAACAAAGAATCCCATGAGTAGAGAACAGAAAATCCTTTCTCTTCACATTGAAATACTATTTTGCTTAATCAAACCCTACCCATTAGAGATCTCTCTAACTTACCATAATAATTAACATAGGGTGGCCCATCCTCTAACCCATAAAGGTATAGCTGGGATTCGATCCCAAATTTTTGCTACGACCACCAAGAGACCTTATCAACTGGTTGGCACCTTGCTATGATTCACAACAAATTTCCTATTTTTAATTAGGGTTACTTGATCACACTAAACTTTTTTGTTTTGATAATTGAAATATTGATCCGTTCATCAAATGTGTTTCACATGCCCACTGATTGATGGCCTTGGGGGTCGTCACTGGTTTAATTATTACAATTTACAACAAACATCGTGTCCCGACCCTTTTTGCCTTGCTTGTGACTCACGAGCGATGAAGGGTATTTGGCACCGATGCATTTTCTTGGATGTTATATTAAAATAAATATTGTATCGCAATTTGCATTTATTTTTACCATAAACTGGCAAAATTTGTATTTTCTAATGTTTTTTGGTTTAATTTGGAAGGAGTACAAATATACAATATGTATAGTGTAAAATTTTGTATTTTGTATTCTTCTCAAACTGAACATTGTACAAAAAATATTGCTAACTGAATTTAATGAGAAAAAACAAAATACTACAAATGCTTGATCAGCTTGTCATATTCAGATGATGATGCTAAAAATGCAAGTGTAAAAAGATACAAAACCATCTTGGTCCATGCCATTAGTGGAGGCCTTCAGCCTTCAGCCTTCAGCCTTCAGACCAAAGTCCGGACAAGCTAAAGAAAAGTTTGAGAACCTGTTTGATTTATAGGAATAGGGGCTTAGAACCAAAATTCTATTTTGTTGGTTGGATGGAATCAAAATTCTATTTCTGTTCTTGGTAATATGATATTCTTTCATTTGAGGGAATGACCATTTCTTCCATTTTATTTGGGTATGAGATCCCATTCCGATTCTAATTCCCATTTGAATCAAACAGGTATTGAGAATAGACCATGCCGATTCTAATTCTAAAAAATTCTAATTTCGATTTCGATTCCAATTCCAATTCTGATTCCAACCAAGTACCAAATAGACTCTGAGAACTTCCCTCTCTGGCATCGAATAAGGTGTGTGTCAGTGGGGTGGGTTGGATGTCACACTTACACAGATCGGTTTCCCTATCAATACTTTTAATGCTTGACTACTTTAGAGGAGAAGAGGCAGTCACTCAAACTCAGAAAATTTGATCATGGTCTTTAACAAGGTAAACCCCTTATGTATTTACATTTTCACATATAAGCCATCATCTTCTAAGTGACTTTTCCGACTATATGGGGTTGGTTACATAATCCTGTCATCATTTTGTTCTATTCAATGCCATAAATTATATTATAGGTGTCTAAATCACTTCTTAGCACTTTCATCTAATAAGTTATTTTTGGTCTACTCCTGCTTGTTTTATTTCTTTCAACTTTTAACAGATCACTTTTCACATATAAAAGAAAATATTATACATCCATACCATGATTATGTATGTATATAGCAATTTAATTTTAAATGAAAATATGACGTTATACCATTAATATTGTATTGGATGGCAATTTTTCTCATCTTTAATAGGGACTGAACTTCCCCAATCCGATGGAGTTAGGGATGGGAATTGTTTTGGCGGGGCAGGGACGGGGACAAGGATTAATAGGAATTCCTGATTGGGGTTGCGGTCAGGGATGGGATTGAGGCCCCTGTCATGCCCTAGCCCTGATTTTTTATATATATACCAAAATATATTTAAAACATTATTTATAATTTATAATTTTTATTTATTTTATATAAATTTATTTTTCAAAAAAATACTATTATCGAAAAAATTTCGAGGATTTGCGTCCCTGCGGGGAACCCATCCCCATTAAGAACCCCGATGGGGATCGGAGACGGGGATGAGGGTTAATTTCATAATCGGGAGTGGAGACGGTGAATATGATCCCCGCCCTATTGCCATTCCTACTTTTAAAGCACCATAACCTTTTTACCCTTGTATGGATGACCCTGACTGATCAATCCCAAATGAGAACGTTTTTCTATAGCAAAATGAAAAAAA